TCTGTGTGCTGTTTGCCGTCTGCAGCATGTGGCGGTGGGAGCGGGCTACGTTTTGGGTCACGCATTCGAGGCCAGACGTGATGAGCCAGCAGATCGGCATGAGAGGGAAGCGGGGTTTTCCCCAGACTGACTGCTGGTGCTTCAAGTCGGACGTAGCGCTGTCCCATGAAAAGCTATCATGAAATATTTGCAAAAATGAGAGGAGGGCAACTCGTTTTGGGGCAAAAGTGCATTTAATAAACTGTAAGGACGAATAAAGGGATGGAGACGTGGACTTACCGGTGCCCCGGGTGGTAGATAGCTGAGGTGATGCCGTGGGAGTAGTAGGTGGAGAAGCTGAAGGTGTGGTTCTTTTGGAAATTCTGATTGGTGCCCACACTGTAAAAGAATTAACTCATTCAGTACCAGCCAATACTGGACCGAGTCTGAAAAGATGTTTCAAAACGTCTTTGGGAGTGAATGAGTTAATAAACCCCCACACACACATTGATTCATTTCGAGTAGGTGAGATAACGTCAACACGCAATCTGTGTGAAGAGGCGGACATGAAAAGCGGAGGACAAAGTAGAGCCTGAGGACCTCCGCGGCAATGCGACTTGTTGTGAATCCCGACGTTCAATTGAAATGGTCCAAGCAGCCGCATGAGGAGGAGGAGAGGAGCAATAAGCTCGTTACGAAAATGAGAACCAGTCATTACAAATAAGCCAACCTGCACATTCCTGCCACGACTTAATTCTCGATTTACACACACGCGTCGACGTGCAGTGAAAGCCTCAAATAATTGAAACATTTTCCCGCCATTCGGCATGGCGGAAAAAGGGGTGCGCAAAGCCACCCAGACTTACATGCGACGTCTCCACTAATGCTTGATCAAAACGGGGCTGAATTCAAAAGGCAAGGCTTTCACATTTGCTCTGCGGAAAAGCACGCACGAAAGGATTAGCTTCAATCACAAGCTGAATGCGTGCCTCACTAAAACGATGGCGGACGCTGAAATGCACATTCACGTGTACATGTTTTGTTCGTGCCGGCTGTCCTAGCAGCATTTGAGCACATGCGTGTGGACATTTCTCAACATAATGTGGCATTGGACATGAGTGACAGAATTTCGCGGAACGTAAGTGCGCTTAAAGGGGACCTCAACCCAAAAATGTTGTGATGTCATTTTCAGTGGAAAGCAGATGGTAAAAATGGCCGCCCCATGAAATGGCTAAAAACAGGTGGATTTTGCTGCGTAATTCATCAGAATGTCATGTTTAGACTAGTGAGGGCACATCCCACAAATTATTGTAAAGAAAATTTTAGGGTTGACTTTCCTTTTAAACTGGCAAAGGTATAGGACACAATTCTATAAAGGCCGTTGACAAGAAATGTCGTCGACAGGCACCCCCCTAGCGATGAGTCCCGGCAACGGAAATTGTCGTCAACTGCGTTATTTTTTCTTTTTTTTTCTTTTCTTTTTTTTTTTTAATGGTAATGGGCGGAGACGCAGATGACAGCACTGTGTCTGACATCAAGACAGTGACAGTTTTCAAGGTCATCAAGGTGGTATTTGACTGACAGATGAGTGGGGCGTGGTTTCGGTATATTCAGCAAACATGGCCTCGCTTTTTTTTTTTGGGTTCCTTCCAGTTTCCTTTTATTTCTATAATTTAATGAGAATTTACCCCGGCCAGACTTAGGACACTCTTGTCGATGCTTTTGGCAGGTTTCCCAGTATTCTTTGTCTTCATAGTGGCACTGCGCTCAATTGAGGAAAACCGGCTGGAATGTCAGTGACAACACTAAAAGTCTGGTGGTGGCTGCTTTTTGATTGACGTCTAAAGAGGTGCGCTGTCAGCTGAAGGCAAGCGAGTCAACAGCAAACACTATATGAAGCCTTTGAGAAAGATAACAATGCTCTGCTTTCAACTTGACTGCGGGAGAGGGACAAAAATCATAGGAATAGCCGTAAAGGAATGTACCACCCTGTGAATCCAAGTTCCTTTGAGATTCTGACTTTTTTTTCCCAATTAAGGTGTTTGAAAAAACTGATATCTCCCTACAGCATCAAAGTTGCCCTTCCATTTCCTCGTTAGGAAAATAGGTTTCTCTATACTGTGGATTTTCACCTATCGCGTGTCAATCAAAAGTGCCCACTCACCTGACCAGGTAGCTCTTGAGCCCGCCCCCGTACGTGATGACCAGCAGCTCGGCCGACCATTGAGCGCCGCCCGTGTACTCGAGGAAGATGAGGCCCGACTCATGATAGCGAGGTCTGGAACTCTTTCCCCGCTCCAAACGCAGGTTCACTGTACATTCTCTGTCCTCTTTTCCTCTCGCTCTTATCTATATGCAACTGCTTGCGCTAACCCACTTTTCACACCGCAGATCATTAAAGTTTCATCCGGTCTGTCGGCTGGCAAACACTTGACAGTGGCTGTCAGGAGCCATTAAGCCGCCGAGGCAAGATTCACCCGCCAAAGTCAATCTGTTTGCTGTTTGCCGTCTGCAGCATGTGGCGGTGGGAGCGGGCTACGTTTTGGGTCACGCATTCGAGGCCAGACGTGATGAGCCAGCAGATCGGCATGAGAGGGAAGCGGGGTTTTCCCCAGACTGACTGCTGGTGCTTCAAGTCGGACGTAGCGCTGTCCCATGAAAAGCTATCATGAAATATTTGCAAAAATGAGAGGAGGGCAACTCGTTTTGGGGCAAAAGTGCATTTAATAAACTGTAAGGACGAATAAAGGGATGGAGACGTGGACTTACCGGTGCCCCGGGTGGTAGATAGCTGAGGTGATGCCGTGGGAGTAGTAGGTGGAGAAGCTGAAGGTGTGGTTCTTTTGGAAATTCTGATTGGTGCCCACACTGTAAAAGAATTAACTCATTCAGTACCAGCCAATACTGGACCGAGTCTGAAAAGATGTTTCAAAACGTCTTTGGGAGTGAATGAGTTAATAAACCCCCACACACACATTGATTCATTTCGAGTAGGTGAGATAACGTCAACACGCAATCTGTGTGAAGAGGCGGACATGAAAAGCGGAGGACAAAGTAGAGCCTGAGGACCTCCGCGGCAATGCGACTTGTTGTGAATCCCGACGTTCAATTGAAATGGTCCAAGCAGCCGCATGAGGAGGAGGAGAGGAGCAATAAGCTCGTTACGAAAATGAGAACCAGTCATTACAAATAAGCCAACCTGCACATTCCTGCCACGACTTAATTCTCGATTTACACACGCGCGTCGACGTGCAGTGAAAGCCTCAAATAATTTAAACATTTTCCCGCCATTCAGCATGGCGGAAAAAGGGGTGCGCAAAGCCACCCAGACTTACATGCGACGTCTCCACTAATGCTTGATCAAAACGAGGCTGAATTCAAAAGGCAAGGCTTTCACATTTGCTCTGCGGAAAAGCACGCACGAAAGGATTAGCTTCAATCACAAGCTGAATGCGTGCCTCACTAAAACGATGGCGGACGCTGAAATGCACATTCACGTGTACATGTTTTGTTCGTGCCGGCTGTCCTAGCAGCATTTGAGCACATGCGTGTGGACATTTCTCAACATAATGTGGCATTGGACATGAGTGACAGAATTTCGCGGAACGTAAGTGCGCTTAAAGGGGACCTCAACCCAAAAATGTTGTGATGTCATTTTCAGTGGAAAGCAGATGGTAAAAATGGCCGCCCCATGAAATGGCTAAAAACAGGTGGATTTTGCTGCATAATTCATCAGAATGTCATGTTTAGACTAGTGAGGGCACATCCCACAAATTATTGTAAAGAAAATTTTAGGGTTGACTTTCCTTTTAAACTGGCAAAGGTATAGGACACAATTCTATAAAGGCCGTTGACAAGAAATGTCGTCGACAGGCACCCCCCTAGCGATGAGTCCCGGCAACGGAAATTGTCGTCAACTGCGTTTTTTTTTCTTTCTTTTTTTTTTAATGGTAATGGGCGGAGACGCAGATGACAGCACTGTGTCTGACATCATGACTCCATGACAGTGACACTTTTCAAGGTCATCAAGGTGGTATTTGACTGACAGATGAGTGGGGCGTGGTTTCGGTACATTCAGCAAACATGGCCTTGCTTTTTTTTTTTTTTTTTTTTGGGTTTTTTATTTTTTCTTTTTTTTTCTTTTCTTTTTTTTTTTTAATGGTAATGGGCGGAGACGCAGATGACAGCACTGTGTCTGACATCAAGACAGTGACAGTTTTCAAGGTCATCAAGGTGGTATTTGACTGACAGATGAGTGGGGCGTGGTTTCGGTACATTCAGCAAACATGGCCTTGCTTTTTTTTTTTTTTTTTTTTTTTGGGTTCCTTACATTTTCCTTTTGTTTCTACAATTTAATGAGAATTTACCCCGAGCAGAATTAGGACACTCTTGTCGATGTTTTTGGCAGTTTTCCCAGTCCTCTTTGTCTTCATAGTGGCACAGCGCTCAATTTGAGGAAAACCGGCTGGAATGTCAGTGACAACACTCTGACAGATGAGTGGGGCGTGGTTTCGGTATATTCAGCAAACATGGCCTCGCTTTTTTTTTTTGGGTTCCTTCCAGTTTCCTTTTATTTCTATAATTTAATGAGAATTTACCCCGGCCAGACTTAGGACACTCTTGTCGATGCTTTTGGCAGGTTTCCCAGTATTCTTTGTCTTCATAGTGGCACTGCGCTCAATTGAGGAAAACCGGCTGGAATGTCAGTGACAACACTAAAAGTCTGGTGGTGGCTGCTTTTTGATTGACGTCTAAAGAGGTGCGCTGTCAGCTGAAGGCAAGCGAGTCAACAGCAAACACTATATGAAGCCTTTGAGAAAGATAACAATGCTCTGCTTTCAACTTGACTGCGGGAGAGGGACAAAAATCATAGGAATAGCCGTAAAGGAATGTACCACCCTGTGAATCCAAGTTCCTTTGAGATTCTGACTTTTTTTTCCCAATTAAGGTGTTTGAAAAAACTGATATCTCCCTACAGCACTTCCATTTCCTCGTTAGGAAAATAGGTTTCTCTATACTGTGGATTTTCACCTATCGCGTGTCAATCAAAAGTGCCCACTCACCTGACCAGGTAGCTCTTGAGCCCGCCCCCGTACGTGATGACCAGCAGCTCGGCCGACCATTGAGCGCCGCCCGTGTACTCGAGGAAGATGAGGCCCGCTACGGCACTGCTGAAATCCCCGGGGAAACTCAGTTCCTGGGGGAGGGGGCATGAGAAGATGACAGTCAACGGGAATATTCAGCCGATGAGATGTTTTGATTGACACTGTGCGTGAAATCAGCCACAAAATATGAAGATCACAAAGGAGTGCGATTTTTTTTTTTTTGCCTGCGGCGGGGTGGGAAGGAAATAGGAGCGAAAACAAGGACGAGAATGCTAATATGTGGCAGTAAAGCATGGAGTGGAATGGATGGACTGGATACAAGTCATCGAACGATGGAGGGGGGGGGGGCGTTGACTGAAGGATAAGAAGGACGAAGGGAGGATCGAGAGAGGCTTGAAGGAGTACCAAGTGAAGTGTGTGACACATTAAAAATGGAGGGCCGTGAAATGGGACTGAAGAATAGACGGCGGGGAAAAAAATGTGAACAAAAAGGAAGGATGAAAGTTATATGAGAAGACGACGGGTGAAGTCGGCATGTCGCGCGACTAAGACTTTTTGTCAAAGTGTAAGAAAAGTGGCTTCCCCCCCTCTCTCATTTGGAATCAATTTTATGATCTCTGCAACAACAAGAGTTTCTATTGGGCCTGCCGTGGCATAGAAATGACAAAAGATGAGGTAATGAATGTGTCATTCCATGTCAAAATGGAAATAAATAGAGGGGGGGGGGGCATTGTGTGGCCGCCATCATCCCAAGGGAGCAAGTACATTGCCAAAGGGGCAGGTGCGGAAGGGGGCCCAGCTTGTCTGTGAAATTCAGGTTTGTGAACCACTGTACTGACTAACATTTGTCACTAGATGGGGACGTTGCATCGAATCGACACGTCGTTTCACAAAAAGCTCTTTGTTTTCCATGTTTTGGTCAGAAACTAGTTTATGCGAACGCGTGCAGGGTGCGGGTGCGATTACCGGGGGGATGACAAACAGCTCGCTGCCCACAAGGTCGAAGAGGCGAACCGTGCCCGTGCTGTCGGCGAAGGCCAGCAGGGCGCAGTCGTGGCTCCACGCCACCCGCCGCCATTGGGGGTTGGGGTCCTTTGGCACTGCAGAAGAAAGCGTGATCATATCTTACGATGCGATGACAAGTGAGGAGTCATTAGCAAGGGAGATGAACAAAAGCGTGTTATCGATATGGCTGAAACAAACGTGGTTGTCCAATGTCATTTTTCATCCTAACTATAACACAAACGTGTATTTTTCATTAAACTATTTTCATTGAGACGTCATTTTCTTCCAATATATCGAGTTTTGCGCGATACTGTATCATGGTAATGTCAGTATCGATGAAGAGAAAAAAAATGCCAATATTGTTGTTTAAATGTTACATATGTTACTACTTGATTATCATTCCAGCAGCGCTGTAACTACACAACACCACTAGGTGGCAGCATTGCTCTGCAAACGCATTTCTGGGTGCATCGTTTTACTTTATTTTAGTTCACCGTGTTTCATATCTCTTGATATTTCAGTGATGCAAATGGTGTGGAAATGTGGAAAAAAAAACAATCTCTCTTTTGGTGTTTGAAATTATATGTAGCAAAGATTTGTTCAACAGTGTGAAGCATAATACAGCGGCTGGTTGTGTGGTTATAAAGCAATAAAGTTGTGTTTTTTTGTTTGTTTTTTTTTTTTGCTGGCATATAACAGCACTCTGGGCGTTTCTTGTGTCGGATGAGCCGGCTGAGCAAATGCCGCATGTGGGCCCCGGTGGGCAACGCGGTCAACAAATAAAAGATGACAGATGATGAGACTTTGAGAACAAGAGACACGGAGGAGACGAATGGACACGGCAGGTGACAAACAATAAATCTGACACCTGCCAGGGTGAGTGAGGGCCGATGCCTCAAATTACTCCAGAGGACACTGAAAAGGTGGAAATTGCACACCTTCAAGACTGAGGCGGAGCTTTATGAATGCATCATTTTCATTTCATTAGGCACACCCGCATGACTACTTAACAGGATTCTGAACTTTAATATCACTAAGAGTTGAATATTGCACAGTTATATCAAAAAAAAAAAAAAAGCAACTTGTCACAGTTTGAAGGTAGGTGACTGATAGATTACACTGGAAGGCGTTTTTAGTTCAATACTGCCACCTGATGACATTTTAGAGGTACTCTTGGAAATCATTTCAACAGGGAAAAATGTCCTTTTTGTGGCGAAATAATTACCGATGTAACGGAAAGACTTAAACAATTTGTGCATCGTGATTAATTGATTGCAGATCCTCGTGATGTGCGCAAATTGACTACCAGGGGGCAGTATAATACAGTCATGCAGGCACAAAAGATCAGAGGTTGTCAAACATTTACGCTGAAGAGCCACAGCTGATTTTTTTACAGCGGACATATGGGTTAGGTTATTTGTCAGTGAGGGTACTTTTTTTTTAACTCATTATTATCTTTGTTAAAGGCATCACTTTTTAGTCTGTCCATGTTGTACAGTATTTCTGTCATTTGATTGTGCAGGGGTACCTAATGTTGGGGGCGATGGCAAGCATCAAAACCGCACCGATGTCCTCTCCTCTTCTCGCTCCCTTTTCAATCTTTTCTTCCTGTTCCACCCTCATCCCGCCACACCACCCCACGCCATTATGTATTGCACGCGCTACTGAGAAGGGCTCCATTTCCACATAAATGGCTTTTTTAGCCCAAAAACACGTGGGTGGAAGTAGGGGAGGAAATCATCCCGCAAATCCGCCAAGCGTGCCTTCCATGTAAAGAAGCTTCATTTATCACAGCGCAACAGCCATGAATTATGTAAGCGAGCAGGCAGGGCGATGACGGACTTTAGGTGAGGCGGGAGCGCGCATGCACAATAATGCCAACGCCAATGCACTGAGAAGAGGCAAATGCTTAAAAGAGAAAAAAAAAAACACGCTGCTATTTTGTGGACATTACAATTCAACGAACAGAATCAAAATGACACAACGGGAGACGTATTCGAGCAATGTTTTTGAACTGCTTGTTTACGCAGAGTTGAGTTGCGTCTCTGGAGTGCAACTGAACGTTGTTAGATTGTGATGTAATACTGCGGATGGGTAAAATAATCGCAGCCACAAAGGGTTTCTCCATCCACGGCTTGTCAGCTAGGCTGACTGAAGATGAGCACGTCGAGTGGACACGCACACAGCATTCAAGAGGGGCTTGATTTTTCACTATTTTGAAACCTCTTTGAGAGGAGACTCTTTTTTTTTTTCTTCTCTCTTCTGTTTTTTTTTTTTTAATCACTCAAATTTGGCCGGGTTGCCGACAACACACTTTTCTGTGCTGGGTCAAATGAAGAGGATGTTTATTTTCACTTGACAGGGACTTTGGCCATGCGAAAACATAGGTAACAAGCAAAACATGATGTTAATTTGGATTAAGTGACTCTTACCTTGGCACTTCCCAATAACTGAGCCAAAGTCATCTCTCACAGATCTGAAAAGAAAAAAAGCAATGGTGAACAAACACACACACACACACACACACACACACACACACACACACACACCAACTTGTGTGTTTTAACACACTTAGTGAATCGATGGACGCAGAAGAGAGGCTGGCAGACTAGACCTTCGTCCGATCTCGTGCCCCCGCAGCGGCTCAAAGTGGAGGCTTTCCAATCAAGGCTGCGGTTTTAACAACAGTCCAGCAGTGCCCCAGCTCAGCTTTTTATCAATTACAGCTCACGCTGTTCAGCCACAAGGTTCATTTTTGCCACTCAACTGGGTTTTATTTATAGAGCACTTTAAAACGACCATTGCGGCATACAAAGTGCTGTGGAGTGACAAACAATCATAGCGAAACAAAAACAAATTAATACCCGTATCTTTTATCACTGAAGATGTTTCAACCTTTAATTAATCACTCAATAAATCAATTAGTCTTATAAAACTTTGTTCCAAAATGTTGTTGCTTATCTCTGTACTTTTTTGCAATATCCAATCTGGCCTTCAAAGTCTTTCTCCCAAAGTCTATCTTTGTGGGCTGAATTGTGTTATTCAGACAACTGGGGTGTACCGAAGTACATTGACCCAATAGTTATAATGCCAATGATTTTCATCTCAATAAAGACTCCGTCCTCAATAGGTAAGTATACAAAGACTGGTTACGTTGTGACGGTTTGAGATGCGCCCCGGGAATTACCTGATCTCCACACATTGGTCCTGAACCACCGCAAGGAGCTTGCCGTTACTGCAGAGTAGGAAAAAAAACATGAGTGGCATAAAATGACAATTAGTGGAGGGGTCCTTGTTGGAGACAAGGATATTAAACACATTCAAGACGATTGCAGAGAGACAAAGTCAAATAAGCCCTGTCGAGTGCCTCAAACTAATGGACGAAGGTGGTAGCCGGATTGATAAACAAAAAAAAAAAAAAAAAAAAAAAAACATTGTGAGGTTACCACAAGATCATGAGCTAGCGTATGTGTGTGTACCTGGCCAGCACCAGCTGCCAGCCAATCTGCTTGTTCACCAGTCGCAGGAGGCCGAGCGGCAGAGAAGAGCTGGAGGGACTGAAAGTGACAGCATCCAAAACGTCACAACATTGAAAAGAAACACATTCCTTGATAAGACAGCACTTGCAAAACGGCAACCTGCACAATTTCTTTAGTTATCATCACAAATACAAAATTACACTACAAAAAAGCTGAGGGGCGGGTTTAGATCGCCTTGTTTTCAACCTTTTCTTGGAAAATCACAACTTTTATTCTTGCAGAGTCAACATTTTCTTCTTGATGCGACCCAAGCACTGTTTCGTGATTTGATTAAAATATCAATTTTGGAAATACTCATTTCAAAACGATTTTTATAATATTTTCTTCAGATATTAAAATTACCTGTACCACAAATAGTGCAGGATGATGCGAAATGGCCCTGGAAGAAAAGAAAGGGACGGCATCACTTCGCGCACACACGCACACACACAAGTCTAACCACATTAAGACAAAACACCTAAACTACACAGCATACAAAGCAAGTCAATAAGCAAATTGTTTTTACATCTATGTCACTTCAAACCAAAAGTGATCGACAAGGTGCCTTACCTGTCACTGCTTTTGCTACAAGGGAGGTATTTTGTTCCTTGTTGCCTCGTAGCTGCAAAAACAAGACAATTAAAGACGTGATTTATTTAAATGGCCATTAGTGGGTGTTTGTACGTCATTTAATGGCATATTTATAGAATTTTAGTGTGTCTTTGCTATGAATGGCAACAAATGCACCTGACTGCCTCGTTAGAGGAGTGCAGCAATCATCAGTAAAAAAAAGTTATCAATTCTCACAAGTGTGTTTTATGACCAATAAGTGGTTAAAAAAGGCAAAAAAAACTATTTTGATAGACATGAATTTCGAGAATATTTACGCTACGTGGCTCCACATTTGCTTGAGCACCACGTCACTATTTGACGTTGCAGCTCCTTTTCACGGGTAACAGCGGCAAAAAATGCGAGACATTTTATGTTGGAAAAGGCAGCCGACTAACCTGAGTGTCAGTCTCTGGAGGCCATTCGGTAAGAACGAGTAAATCGTACAAAATATTCTCATCTTCGCCTTCGAGAACGCTTTCGTCCGCCATGTTGACTGACTGCAAAGCACAGCACAGCTGTCATAGCCGATTACGGCAACTCGCGAGGGACGAAAACGTGAAAAGCCATTGTTTCGTATTTTACGTCAATTTGTTATCTTTGATTTTATCAAAATAACGGGGGTAAGGGAAGGAATATTGCTTCTGTTAAATTTGTATCATACTTTACACTTCAATATTTCTCACTAGTGAGGCCATTTCATTTCCCATCTTCAATCATAATTTTTCCTTCGGCTTTTCGCAGATTTTTTTTCCGTAACGATTCTTTTAAAAACAAGACATTATGTCACGCTTTTCACTACAATAATTGTTTTTTCATTGTCAATGACTGTTAATTTAGAAAAAATATTCAACTATATAGTCCCTGTCATTCAATTTGAGCTTACATTTCTTTTTTATAATTTCAATTATATTGCTTTGATCAAACACTATCACGACAGGTTTGATTTAAGATTTGTTTTGATCCTATATAAATTGTGCAACGTAAAAAATATATATATATATTTTTTTAATATCACGGAACCCTAATGACAGCGCTGTTTCCTTTCGATCCGCAAAAGAAAAAAGTGCATGCGTGTCGAGTCGTGTACACTTACATCCGGCAGGTTTTCGAAGCAATAATGGCTGCCTTTTCTGGTGAGTTTTAACTTTAAAAATGACCACAACATTAAACGCAACGTGTTTTATTGGTGTGATTTTCATTGTGAATTAACGTCGTGTTGTGTAGAAATGGGCGTTATGCCCGAAATCGCGCAGGCTGTGGAGGAAATGGACTGGCTGTAAGTCACTTGTTTGATAACCTTTGCACATTCATTGCTGTGTATGTCAAGTGAATCATAAATGTGCTTTTGTTGCCATGATTTCATGTCAGGCTTCCTACTGACATCCAAGCTGAGTCGATTCCGTTGATTCTCGGCGGAGGAGATGTACTCATGGTGAGCCTGTCAATATTTAGCAGTTGTGGGCCGTGCATTCCGAAAAACGCATTTGTGCTACGTGCATCTTCTGGAGAGTTGGGGATTGATATTTATCTATCTATAAATAAATTTTGTAACATTCGCGATGCTCACCAAAGGTGCTGATTATTGAATGCATTAATGTGTGCAGACAGTAAAACAAAATTGTTGAACAAGTTCGAGATTAGCTTGACTATGACTATTGCAACGCATTGATACTGATATCCGATTGGACATACAAATCTAACAAACACGTGGTTATTTGCAACAAGGATAGAATTTGATAGTATCTTTTTTTTTCTCTCCCTTACTTGAAGGCAGCAGAAACTGGTAGCGGTAAAACTGGAGTGAGTATGAATCTTCACATTTAATTTGCTAAAGGTTGTACTAGCTGTATGATATGAAACGTTTGTGATTGGCAGGCCTTCAGCATTCCTGTCATTCAGATTGTGCATGAAACGCTGACCGACCAGCAGCAGGGCAAAAAAGGCAGAGCCAACATCAAAACGGGCGGAGCTGGTGAGCGTTTTTTATAACGTAGTCACGTGACTGAGAAAAGTTCCAGGGGACATGTCGTGGAAAGTTGACTGAAATAACTGAAAGTTCAAATCTCAGGATTAAGGATAAGTGTGAAATGAACACACATGCTTGGAATTGTGGGGGGGGGGGAAAAATCATGTCTCATTTGAACTGTATCTTATTGACGATTTATAATGCTGATATGATGCCTTCTTTGTCAGTCTTCAACAATTGGCAGATGAACCCATACGACCGGAGCGCTGCATTCGGTAAGAAGAGCATTTAAAAAAAAAAAAAATTGCAAACGTTCAACATTACAGTTCTTTTTGAAATTCCCATACTTGTTGCCTCATCTTAGCGATCGGGCCGGACGGACTGTGCTGCCAGAGCCGAGAGTTTAAGGAATGGCACGGCTCCCGCTCCACCAAGGGTGTTACCAAAGGTAAGCCATTGCCGTGCAACCTCTGGAGGTTGAACACAATCCGCTCCAGGGACGCTTTACTAATAAGGACGAATACGATTTTGAACGTGTTTGCTGTTGAAGGCATTATTATACTGTGCATAATCAATCAATCGATCAATGCGTTGTAACGTGTGCGGTTGTGCAAGCAGGGAAATACTACTACGAGGTCTCGTGCCACGACCAAGGGCTGTGTCGTATCGGCTGGTCCACCAGCCAGGCAGCTCTCGACTTAGGTAAACT